AATTTTTATATTTGGATATTATTTTATTATTACTGTTGTTGTTAAACTATTTTTTTTATTTATTATCGTGTATTAGTGTCAATAATTACTATATTGAATCATCAAAAGCAAGTCCACAAGTCACTGACAATAAAAATTTTGATCTCAACTAGTTTCATTAGCATAGTGGTTAGGGCGTTAGTCTCGTAGTCCGTAGGTCGTAGGTTCGATTCCCGCGTGCGTTAGATTTTATTTACTTCTTAGGTTTGCGTTTATTCCGATTTTTCTGCGTTGTATTCGTATAAGTATGCAATTTAATAATTATATATACTGTAAAATAATTTAATTAACAAATTTCTAATTTTTTAATAATTTTTAATGTATATATTAGAGGAATATATATTAATCTCTACATATACTAACATTATTTATGAATTCGCTTTTGGTCATCACTTAATTGAAAAAAATAATAATTAATTAAAACTAATACTTATTATTAATAATTTAGGTTATTTCTTTAACAAATATTATTAACTAATTAAAATTATAATGAAATAGAAAATACTGTCTGAGATGGTCCTTTCTAGGTCCTAAAATGGACCCATAAACTGGTCCTAACTAGGCTCCCAAGTTAGGACCAGGCTAGAATCGCATCACAACCCATTGTTGGTCCAACCTACACTGCCAACCTAGGACCAAGCTATTAACAGGGCAAAATAGGTAGGACCTGGCTAGGACCAATTTTCATTTTCCACACGGGACGTTTTAGAAAATTCATGAATGAATTATATTGAGGAAAATTTATTACTGCTCTATTTTTTCTTCTTTTTATTTGAATATAAGACTTTTTTTCCAGGAAAATGGTGTATTTTAATTTTCCGCATTATAATATTTATGTGATTATTTTGTTATTATTTTTATGATAATAATTTTGTTTTGTGATAATAATTATTTTTTTATTATTATGACAATTATATTTTTTTTTTGCTTTTATGTCAATTATATTTTTTTGTTCTGATAATAATTATATTGCTTTGTTTTTATAATTATTTTTTTTAATAATAATCATCTATTTGTTCTTTGTAGAATATATTAAAAATAATTCTAATATATGACGCTGTAGGGAATCGAACCTGGGACCTACGAACTACTAGCCTAACGCTTTAACCACTAGGCTGTCGAAGCTATAAAAATAATTCTCATATTAATTAGTAGATAAAAATTATAATTATTCCCTCTCTTACCCTGCAAAGCAAAAATTACTAATATTAATAATAATAACAATTTAAATTAAACAATAAAAATAAAAAAAATACAATAAACTATTTAAAATACTAATAACATTAATAATAATATAAGAATAGTAATAATAGGCATAATACTAATTATTATTATTATTATTATTATTATTATTATTATTATTATTATTATTATTATTATTATTATTATTATTATAATTTTTATAGCAGTGATAATAATGATAATAATAACAAACAAAATAAAATAGTAATTTATCACTGTGAAGATATAATACATCACCGTGTATTTAAATGATTCTCATAAATGGAGGAATGTTCGGAAGATAAATAACAAATTGGCGTTTAGTACTATATGGGATATAATTATAATAGTTTTGCGCAATGATATATTTAGTACATAAATCATGTACACATAGACATATATAATATATATAATGTTGGTTTCATTTGTCTAGGAGAAATTATTTCACAGCAGAACATTGGCCTCACTACTAACTTAGATTATATCGATCCTATGAAAATAACCCCGCAGGTCGTTCAGCATGCAACTTTTTTTTTTTCTTCATTTTTTCCTATACACTTCTTTTTCACTCTATCGTTTCAACAAAGTCGACCACGACAATTTGCGATTACGACCTAAAATAATTTCGATATGATAACAACAAAAAAAATTTTTTTTTTTGAAGGCATAATTTTGCAAAAAATTTATACATTATACATTTTAATTATTACTTCCTGATCTGTTAACATCGGGAATTTTTATTAATAGCACATTTACTGATTGTAGATAAATATTTAATAAATATTTATTTAAATATTTTGATAAATTATTATAATTAAATATTTTGATAAATTATTATAATTAAATATTTTGATAAATTATTATAATTAAATATTTTGATTAATTATTATAATTAAATATTTTGATTACTTATTATAATTAAATATTTTGATTAATTATTATAATTAAATATTTTGATTAATTATTATAATTAAATTATAATAAATAAAAATTAATTCATTCGTTGATTGATTATGCAAATAAGTGAAAAATAAATATTATGATAATGACTAAAATATATGTCAGGAAAAAATATGTGAAAAATATTCATTAGTGATAATAATGAAACTTAGCCGCTCCTTTATAATACTAGAGTTGTCCGCAAAGACAATTGCTGCACCATGGAGAGAGAAAGAGAGAGAATTGCCGAAAAATTCATTTGCCTTCTGGTAAAGTGCCAGATAAAATGCACTTTGCGGTAACTTAAGTACCTTCACAAGTGCCGTTTTGCGCGAAAATGTTTCTAATTAAGGAAAATAATTTATAGCCTCTCACTGTTTTACACCCCCCAACACGAGAGAGAGAGAGTATTTTAGCCCCTAATAATAAATACACATTCACACTGTATGGCCTGCGAGACCAGGTGCAAAAAAAAAAAAAGAAAAGAAATCACACATGCACCTGAAATTACAATATCAAGATTGTCGTAAAGTATTTTCTATAATCACGCTTTCTTACCTCAATCGATTTTGTAACTTAATTCCTTTTTCCTAATATTACTGTTCTTAATTCTTTTTTTCTGCTTAAATTACTGTTGCTTTTATTTTTTTTTTTTTTTGCTCGAATTACTGTTCTTACATTTTTTTTCTGCTGAAATTACTGTTGCTATTTAAATCTATAGCTCCAATTACTACTCTAATTTTATTTTTATTTTACTACTCCAATTTGAATTTTTTTCTTAAATTATTGCTGTTCTTGTTTTTTTTGCTCGAATTACTGCCCTTAATAATTTTTTTTCTCAAATTACTGCTGTTTTTAATTTTTTTTTTGCTTCAATTACCGCTTTTGATTCTTTTTGTTTGAATTACTGCTCTTAATTATTTTTCTGCTCAAATTACTGATGGTTTAAATTTATTTTGCTCATATTACTGCTTTTAATTATGTTTCTTCTCAAATTACTGCTGCTTTTAATTTCTTTTGTTTCCATTATTACTCTAAATTTTTTTTTTGTTCAAATTACTGCTGTTTTTAATTTTTTTTTCGCTTCAATTACTGTTCTTGATTCTTTTTTCACTCTTACTGCTCCTAATTCTTTTTTGTTTTACTCAAATTATTGCTGCTCTTAATTTTTTTGTTGCTCGAATTACAGTTTGAAATTATTTCGTTTTTCCTTAAATTACTCGTTGAACTTTTGTTCCGAAATTGAAAACGTTTTTTTTTCCCTTCAAATATTAGAGAAAATGGTGCATTATTTATAAATGAAAATTTATCCACCAAAAAGGAAAAAAATTTTGTTTCTTTTTGGAACTATAAAACACGCCTTTTAAAAGTTGGCAGTCTTAATGTCTCATTTCTGTTTGAGACTTGGAAAACTTTAATAATTATGGTGGGTGGAGAAGTTGTGTGTGCATGTACTTGATGAATTATTACCCTTTACTTTAATGTAAAGACGGTAAGTTCTCGGGTATTTAGCTTCTCTCAGATGTCTACTTAGTTTCTTTGGGACAATGTACATTATTCTAGTTAATTGAGATTAGATAATTGTTCGATATGATTTAAACTATGATTTAATTCAGTTTGTAGTTCGTACGGAAACTTGAAAAGAAATTTTTTTTTTAAATTGAAACTTTTGATGATTATTTATTATTGCAACAATTATTACTATCATAAATATTAAATTCTTGTTATGATTGTATTCGTATAATTTTTTTTTATGTTTTAATGGAAAAAATAAATGTGGTAATAAAAATGTTGATTAAATTTATAATTAATTAATTACACTTACAATTAAATAATTAAATTAAAATAAATAATTAAATAATTAAATAATTAAATAAATCAAATAGTAATTACCTAATTAATCATAAAAGTAGTAATTAAGTAATTTATTAAAAAAGTAACAATATTAATTGAATTTTAATTCATTTATTATTGCTCCTTTTGAATATTTACTTTTAATTATTAAATTAAATATTTACCACTGTGTAGTGTTAAATATTTTTATTAATTAAAATTAAAACACTACCTTGAAGTAAATATTTTCGAATAATAAATGAAAAATTTTAATAACATTTAAATTTTTCACAATAAAAAAAATACTATATTGATACGAAAATTGTGAGACAATAATTGTTTTATTGTTGAAAAATCGTTTTTATCTTTCGTCTCTAAATTGATGAGTTTTCAATTCTAACTAAATCAGAAATAATTCTTTTGTCCTTGCTTTCTAGTTGGATTTATCGTATTTACTCTATCGTTGCACTCGACTTACTTGCAATACGATATACCCGTATTTAATTACACGCCACGGCAGTACATATAGAAGTCCCTTGTCGTGACTCATTGACATTGTTTTGATCATTAATTAGTCACAGCATCCGGTCTGAATAATTTTTATCATTCAAATTGTCACATTGTGTGGAAATTATTTATATCCAAGAAACATTTTATTTCTTCTTTATTATAAATCTAATAATTTTCTCAACTTTTTGATTCTTGTTTCTTAAAGAGAAACTTTTTTTCAAGAAAAAAAAAATTTTAATTTATCTTTATTTAAAAAAAGTAATTTTTAAATTTTCTATTTGTAAAAAAATTATTGGTTCAAATTTTTTTTTAAATTGTAGAAATTATTTATAGTTGCTTAATTTTTTTATATTATTATTTTCTTTTTCTGTGAATAAAATAATATAATATAATAAATTAATAAATAAAATAATAATATAACAATAAAAAAATAATAATGTTTCCTATTTTTGTTACAGGTGTTGGGAAATTGCTCCAATATCGAAATACCCTTAAGGGTGAGTTTTACCCCTTTCTCTTTGCTTTTCCATTTTTTTCTATTTTATACATAAAAACTTAGTTAATGAAAAAAAAAATTTATTGCTGACCTTTAAAAAGCAGAATTCTCGCCGTAAAATGTGAAAATGTCAGTAAAACGTCAATGAAATAAAATGGCGACGAGAGATGAGAAACTTTTAAGAGTTTTTCCTGAGTTATTCAGTCTTCTCACGTATTTTTCATTTCGTCTTATACCGCGAGAGTTGAGGGTAAGATAGAGAGAGAGAGAAAACGAAGAAAAAAAAAGAGTGTTAGATCGATTGGCAGATCGCGTTTACTTACACTTATTGGACCTGAAGTTTTTTTTTCTGTGAAAAAAGAAAAAGAGTAGTCAAAAATAAAAGAAAAAAAGAAATGAAGAAACCAATTTTATTTACTACTTTATACCAGTAGTACTATATGGTATTATATATAAATGATCGAAATCGTAACCTTTCTGTCTCATAAATTTGTAAATTATTACATTCGATCTAACTTGAAGTTTTCACGAAATGTCGCGTGCCTCTATTTTTATAATCCTTAACTTTTAGATGGATTCTAAAATCCGTTTATCATAGGTTTCTTATTTCTTTGGTTAGTATTTCAAGTGAAAAATTAGTTACAATTTTTTTATAGTCGCTATTAGTAATGTCGTAAATTCGTTTCTTTTTATTGCTGGTAAAGTTTGTTTGAATTTTTTTTGTTCCATTTGAGTATCAACAGTTTATTTCATTGGATTGCTTTATTTTTCGTTTTAGATTTTTATCTTTTATTCCAGAATTATTTTTTTAAAATTATAGTCAATATTTAATATTTAATAATTAATATTAAATATATTTAGTAATTAATATTCAGATAGTATTTAGGGGAACATAGTCAGGGTTGGACCCCCGCTACTTTTTAAAGAAGAACACTAGCATAAATTTATGTTTTAAAAAGAGTCGAAAAAAATTTATAAAATAAGTTCAACAGGCGGTCCAACCCTGACTATGTTCTCCTAATATTTAATGTTTTATTCATTTAATATTTAGGAAGATTTATTATTCTTATTAAATATTTAACATTCAGTATTTAATCAAAAAGATTTTTTAAAAATGAAGCAATAATATTAGACTTATTCTTATTCATATTACACCATTATACATATATTTGAAAAATGAAAAATTCTAGACGTTGCATTTTTATGGCGACCAGAATATGAAAAAAAATGCCTTTTTTGTCAGCATATCCGCGAAAAATTCATTACACTTAACTCGTAAATTTAAGGGTGTATATAATATTCTTCTTTTTCTTTTTCGTACAGCACCCTCTATCGTGACGTGTACTGCATACTATTCGCATACTGTTCGCACACACACGCATGATTATATATATATATATATAAGGGTAAATAGAAACCGTGAAAAATATTGCACACGACCTGCACACACAATACAAACCTATATCTAGAATATGCGCCAGTTGTCAGTGTTTATGTTTCTTGGTTGAATTATTGTGGAATGACCCTCCATTGTAATCTAGAGTAATTGTATATGTGCACGGAGTCAGCATTATGTGTTTGTCAAGTGCAGAAACAAAAACAATAAGGGGCATCTTGCATATATTTTTTCTGTTTTTGATTGATTTCGATTGATTTTCATAAATTCATCATTTTTCCTATATGAGAGAAAAATTATCAATTATTTGCATCATTTGTTTATTTATTTATTATTTACTTATTTATTTTATGATATTTATTTATTTTATTTATGAATTTTTAATTTGTTAAAGGAATTAGTTTTGGGTGAATTTTTATTATTTCAAGAGTCAGAAATCACTGTTTTGGAAGAAAGAAAGGAAGGAAAAAAGAAAAAAAGGGGTTTTAGTAGAAAGAGTCGATAATGGTCAGACATAAAGCGTTTTCCTTACTTTTCACAGAAGAAACTATTCTTAAGTAGATAAAGTCGTCTAGAGAGAGACGATCAAACAAATATCACATTTCTATGTTACGAAAAATAGCTATGAGTAGAAAAAGTACGTTAATAGTCAGACAGGAATTTTTGCTTATATTTTTTTGAGGAAAATTGTTTTTAATAACTGTAGTTAAAGTCAACAATAGTGAGAAAAACAGTTATTTTTGAATTTTTCTGCATAAAAACAAGTATTAAGTGAATAAAGTCGTAATTAGTCAGACAAGGAGTGCATTTTGAGTTTTGCAGAAAAAATAATTTCTTTTAAGTAGATACGGTTATCAATAGCAAGACGATTATGTAGAAAGTGCACTTTTATGGAAGAAATTTTATACGTTTAAGTGGAAAAGACTCGTTGACAGTCGGACAAAAACGTTTTTCTTTAATTGTCGAAGTAAAAACTTTATTTAAGTAGATAAGGCCTTTTAAAGTCGGACTATGAAACAAAATTCTCATTTTCTTGTAAAAATAACTACGATTCAGTAGAAAAACTCGTTGTCAGTCAGACAAGAAAATTTTTTCTGGACTTTTTCAAGTAAAAACTATTTTTATATTTTTTAAGTAGATAAGGCACGTAATAGTCAGGCACGGCGGTTTTTTGTATTTTTACAAATAAAGAATATTTTGAAGTAGATACAGTCAAGAATAGTGTGACAAAAAAGTTGTTTTGAAAAAATTAGGCAAAATCTCCTCTTTGCATTGAAAAAAAGAAAAATTTTAAGTAGAAATAGTTACTAACAGTGAGACAAGAAAATTTATATGTCTTCATTTTTAAAGAAAAAACTATCTCTAATTAGTGAAATTCGTCCATATTGGAACAATAATATTTTAAAGTGACAAAATACCTTTTTTTAAAGAATGAAACTATGTATTTAAGTGAATACAGACAATTTCAGTCAGACAAAAAGATTTCCTATTGGGAAAATTAATTGTATTTTCTAAAGAAACACTTTTCAAGGAGATAGAGTCGAGTTTGATAAAGACAATAAAGTTCCCCAGTGGAAAATGTATCTCCTGAGAAAAAAGTCTGTTCTAAGTAGAGAAAGTCGACTACAGCGAGACAGGTACGTTTTACTGGAGAAATATAAACTGTAATTGCAAGTTATAAACTATTTTCAAGTAGATAAGGTCAAATATAGTCAGACAATATAAACTTTTATAAAAGTGGAACGTTGTATATTTCCTGGAAAAAAATATGTTTCAGTAGAAATAAATGACTGTAGTTAGACTAGAATTTGTTTTTAAAACTATTTTAACTGTTTTTAACAATAGAAAACAAAACATTTTTTATTGTTAATCATAAGATTAAATAAAAAAAAAAAATTTATTTAAAATTAAAACACTTACTCTCAAGTAGATAAAATCGTTTTTAGTCAGACAAAGAACGGTTTTTACTTTTTTCTAGAGAATTACTACTTTTCAGTAGGTAATGACGTATTAAGCAAGACAAGAGAGTTTGTTTAGTAAAAATTCTTTTCATCTTGTCAAAAAAAAAAAATTCGAAGTAGAAAAGTCTTTTTTTCGTCAGACAAAAACATTTTTCAGTGAAGAATTAATTCTTCAAGAAAGAAAACGTTTATTTCTAGTAAACAAAGTGAATTATAGTCAGACATTAATGATTCTGATATTATTCTTAATTTTTTATGGAAAAATTATTGTTTATGTAGAAAACTTTTTTTGCACTCGGACCGAACATTTTTAGTAATAAGGATATATAGCAGTTTTTTTAATAAGAAAATTATTTTTTTCAAATGAAAACTATTTTTAAGTAGAGTAAGTCATTTTGAAGTCAGCAAAAAAAATTTAGACAGGAAAAACTACGATTAAGTAGAAAAAATCCTTTGCAGTAAGACAGGACAGTTATCTTATAAAAAAATGTTTTTTTCCAGATGAAAACTGTTTTTGAGTTTTGTAATCAGACAAAAAAATTTTGATAGGAAAAACTTTTTTTTGTCCTAAAAAAAAATCTAAGAACAGAAATAACTTAACAATTTTCAAAAATACTTTTCAAATTATTCAATATTATCTTTGTTTCTTTATAGTTTCTAATTATTGACCCAACAAAAATCGTAAAATTAATTCCCAAAAAAATTCTTTCCATTTCGCAAACTTCAAATTACAAATATTTTTTTTTGCCACTGCAATCAGAGTAAATTGTGTTAGAAAACAATTTTCGTGGAAAAAAAAATTCCAATCACCAGTGATAAATCTACGAGAATAAAAAAAATACCGTGAAAAAGGCAGAAAAATTATGGGAAATTTTTGAAAAGCGAAAGTAGAAAATCGACATTATACGGTGTTTAGTGCGCAAGTTGATAGATGAAAGGGAGTGCTTTCATTTTTTTAAATTTGAAAGGGTGGGGATTTTTTTTTTGGCATTTTGCCGAACTAAGGGAAAATGGAATCGAAAACGAGATGCGCCTGTAGGAGACAGATGGGAGAATCGGAGGGTTTTAAATAAATACATCGACGCTCTGATGGTTTGAATTAAACGAGCGATAAAAGAATCTCAATTTACGATGATTGATTGACACTTTTGTTTTCTGACTCATCGACTCTATATTTATTTATTTAGCTGTTGTACCGCGATGGTCATGTTGATTCTTTATTTTTTTTGGGAAAAATCGGAATTTTTTTTTTATTTTCATTTTGATGTATACGTACAAAAAAATGGTTTGGGACGTTTATAAAGCTTGTTATTATTTTTTTATTTTATCGTTCAACACCATTTTTTTCGGAGAAAGAGAGTGCGTGGAATAACTGTCTGTTAAAACGTTTTTGTTATTTTATTGTTTCAATTTTTTTCTATTGTCATTTTTTCTTTTTTATTTTCATTTTTTCGGATTATATATTTTTTTACACTTTTGTACTTTTATTACTTTTCTATTGTTCCACTTTTCTGTTTTTCTGTTCTTCTCTTTTTCAAATTTTTATTTTTCTGTTTGTCCACTTTGTCTACTTTGTCTACTTCTTCTATTTTTGGAAATTATCTACTTTTCTATTTATCTGTTTCTTTATTTTTCTACTTTTCT